CTTATCTTTAGCCTTAACACCCTCTTTTTCTCTTTATAGCGTCTTTAATTTAGTTATATTAAGTAACCCTTTAAGACGTAGTTAGGTCTTTTTAGCCTTTTACTACTTACTTAGTATATTTATCCTTATATAAAGTCTAAGGTTCTTAGCCTTAATAAAAGTAAGCCTATATACTAACTTACTAATACCTTTAGCTTAGAGGTTAATTACCTTATAGATTAGTGTTAGTAAGCTTCTTTAATATCTTTAGATCTTTTTTTTAAGTAAACTAGTACTTTATATACCCTTTAGTGTTATAGTTAGTGTCTTTAGGTCTTATAAGCCTAAGCTAGTTAGATATAAGCTAAAAGGTGTTAGTGTATTTAGCTTAAAATCTAGGTAGAAAATAACTACTTTAGGGTTAAAAGATATAAAGCTAGCCTATCTAAAGCTAGCTTATATATTTCTTTCCCTTATTAAAGTAAAAGATACTACCTTAAAAGTAAGAAAAAAGTTATTTATTATAATATATAAAATCTATATTTATATTATTTTTTTAATTTTCTTACTATATAAGAGCTTTAATAGGCTAAAATAATATATATTAAAAGGCTAAAGCTTATATAATAAATAAGGAGGTAATATATAAAGTAATAATTTTTTATAGTAGTTATTAAATTTAGTTAATTTATAGCTATTATAGCTATTTAGGATTAAAAGGTAATAAGTACTTCTTATATAGGACTTTATATACTAATTAAAGTGCCTTAGCTAATTTAGGCTAATTTTATTTATACTTTATTTATTTTTACTTAGGTAGATATACTATATAGCTAGGAATTAGCTATTTTAGTACTAAAAAAGGAGGTAATATTTACTTCTTATAATAACATATTAAGGTATTACTTAGCTATCTATATATATACCTTAAATAATAAAAGCTTATTCTTAATTACTAAGCTACCCTATATAAGGCCTTTCCTTATAATTAGAGGTTATAATTATCTTTATATATAATAGTATTCCTATTAAGAAGCTAGTTTTATTAAAATTATAAATATTATAATCTTATATCTTATAATTTATAATTATATTTTATATAAGTATAAACTAGCCTTATATAATTATAAGATCCTTAGCTAAGGCTCTCTAATAGTTAATATAGTATTAAAATTATATTTTTAATTTAGGTTATTATTATATAAAGTTCTCTACCTATTAGAGTCTAAAATATATTATATTATATATATTTAGACGTTAGTTAGCTATATCTTTTAAATCCTCTTATTTTAAAGAAAACCCTTAATTAATTAGGTTAATAATCTTTTTAAAAATTACCCCCTCCTTAACTTCTATTATCTTCTTTAAGTTTAGACGTATCTTGTCTTATATAACGCGTCTTATACGTTAGTAATGTAATATTATATAAGGGACGTTAAAGACAGTAGCTACTCTTTATATAGACATTTTTAGGTCTTTTTAGATAGCTTAAAAGGTAAGAATAATACGGCTTTTAATTAAGGAGGATTATATATTTATATATAGAGAAATATTAATATAAAAGTTTAAGAGGTAAAAAGGAGGAAAAGTAGTCTGCTTACTATAATTATCTACTTACTATATATATATATTACTAGTATTACTACTATTAAATAGCTAGAAAAAGTCTTTTTTTTATAAACTAAGCTATTTTAGCTAAAAAAGACTAGGTTACTAATCTTAAATAAGTATTAAAGCTATATTATAATAAACTTTATTTAGCTATACTATATTAATAATATCTATTTATTATTTTTACTTCTATATACCTTTTATATCTTTTAGCTACTTAACTAGTTAGTCTTTAGGCCTATTAAGGTAGCTTCTTATAAAAAGCTTAAATACCTCTCTTATTAAAATAATTTAATAGTTATTAGTCAAAAAAACTTTATAAAGTGCTATTATAAAGCTTATTAGGCTAGGCTAACTACTAGTAATATAAAAACTAGCTAGAAATATACTAAGTTATAGCTTATTACTTTTATAAGGCCTTTAATAAGCTTCTATTTTCTACTAGAAAAGCTAGCCTTATTAATACTACTTAATAAAAGTAAAAAAGATACTTATAATAGTAATAGTACTTAAAAAATAGAGGATTAGCTATCTACTTTATTAGTAGTTTAACTAAGAAATGCGACCGTACAAAAGAGTACGCAGGTCACCTGTTTTGTTACTGTAATTAAATAGTTACACACTTATAAGGGCAATTAATATCTAACTGTTTAGTAGTTAATACCTAAAAAAAGGAGAAAGCTAGATACCTAGCTATAATTATTTAGCTAGCAAGATTAAACTATTACTATATAACGCTAGCTTTTTAAAAAGGTAAAAAAAGGCTTCTAAGAGCAGGCCTTTAAGTTAGCTACTACCTAGCACTAAATTTAGCTTCTCTAAGCCTAAGTTACTAGTAGTAGTATAAGAAAAAGGAAGGCTATTACTTTAGACCTAAATATAAAATTTATAATAATTAAAGATATATAGTAGGCCTAGATTAAGGCTAGTAATACTAAAAGTAAGCTAGATAAATCTAGCGTATTAGATTTACCTAGTGAGGCCAGAAGTTATATAGTTATTACACTAAGGTAATGCTGATAGTTAATTAAATAAGGTGGTGGTGGCCATAATGGCGATGTTCTTGGGGTGCTGAAATGCAGGCGGTGCCGAAAAGTGGGTGCGTTGACTTACGTAGTACGTACATAAGGCGTTAATTGCTGCTTGCGATTAACAGCGTCGTTTTTGCGACACCTTTCAAATTGCGAGAAACTTTGGCGTAAATGATAAGCTCGATAATGAGCAGACAAAACTGCTAGGTAAAGATGGCCTGTCCCCATCTTCTGGCCATTAGAGCAAGTAGCTCTGAACACAGCCTTTTCGTCGATTCCCCACCCACTCCACTTTATTGTTGCATCCTTTTTGTTTCTTTCTCTAACTCCCCCACCCTACTTGCGAGACACCCCCACATCCAAGACATTATCATCACCATCATCACCACCACTATTACCACTTATTTCACTATCTCTGCCGCCCACCCATATACAACTTTCAGCCTTACTAGGTAATTTAGATGCCCTAGATTCATCCAGACTATCTATATTACCAGCATCCAGACTCTACGCCTAGATAATATCCTCTATAGTAGTAAAGGTGCTATTAGGCAATAGGCAGACCTTTTTCCTCTTATATAACTATATATTATCTAACTAGGCCTATAATAAGTTAACTTACCTTTCTAGAAGGGCTACTCTAGATACCTACTTATTATATCCCTTTTACACCTTTCTAGATAAGTAACAGATAGTATAGGTATCTAACCTATCCTTACTTAGCTAGGTTAACTAGTATAATTAATACTATAGATTAGTAAATTAATAAGGGGTTAACTATAAGATAATAGATTTAGCTTTATCTTACTATTAGCTACTAGACTACTAGCTAGCCTAGCTAGCCTAGCTAGCCTACTAGGCCTTAGTAACTAGTAGGTTAGATAGAGGGTGCCTTCTAGATACTAGCTATAACCTAGTAGCCCTCTAGCCACTCTTAATATTAATATCTATAATAAATGCCTTACAGGCCTTAAAATAACACTCTAGAAATACCTTTTTGCTAGTAATAGTTAAATCTGTTACCTAGTTATCTAGACATCTAACCCTCTAGTAATAGGCCTGCTTTAATAGGCTAAAGATAGCTATATCTAGAGGCTAGAGGATAGTAAAGGTGTATAGCAGTAGAAATAACAAATAGATATAATACTACTAGTATTTCTATATAAAGTTAATAGTTATATAGCTATAATACCTATTAAGAACTAGTAGTCTAGCCTCCTCTAGCTAGGCAGGCCTAGTACGTAAGATAAAGACCTCTTCTAGCTATTTAAGGGCAGTATTATTAGTTATCTAGCTATTATCTATTACTATAAATCGCTAAGCCTTATATCTAAATAGGTTAGATAGGTTAGATATAAACCACTAGGCCTAAAGTAACTTACCCTTATATATAAGTAAGAGGGGTAAGAAGCTCCTAGCAGTAGACATACACTTAATAATAGATACCTATACCTAGGATCCTAGCTGCTTTTTCTAGATATATTATAATATTATAGAGCCTAACACTAGCCTATTAACTCCTTTACCCTCTATAATACTAGTCTTATCTAAATTTTATCTATTAGATAGATAGATACCTTAGATAGTAAGGATACTACTAAGGTAATAAAAGAAATCCTAGATAACCTTAAGGGAATAGGCTGCCTATTACTAGGTATTAATTACTCTAGATTAGAGGGTTCTAATAGATAGATTTTACTATATAAATTAGGCTATCTATTTCCTCCCTATAGGAGGATACCTATTGCCTATTATACGCTCTGCTAGGCCTTTTACTTATTAATAGGTAATCTGCCTGCTAAGGGAAGCTTAGAGGGATATATAGGCAGCTAGATTATCCTCTTAGGTCTAGGATAAGTGTTATATATAGGTAAAGGCAGTATCCCTACTTTACTGCCTATAGTATTAATAATAAAGTAACTAGTATAGTATGCCCTATTTAGAAGCAGCAGCCTAGATACTATACCTATTTTATATATCTAGAAGGGCCTAATAAAGCTTATCTTTAGTATATTACTTTATAATAGGTTAAAGAAGGTATCTTAAAAAAATAGCGTTATTTAGTTATATATGTAAAATGTTATAATAGTTTAAAAAAGGTGGTGATGTTAATAAAGGAGGAGAAATGCGGGATTTTTGGATGTCTCGGAAGTGGGGGTGTCTCGGATGTGGGGTGGGGGAGTTAAGTAAACGCTACCTCCCGTCCCATTAGTTAGAGTGATGACTGTACCACGCATGTCCAGGCCTGTAGCCTGCGACATAACCCTATCGGGCTGCGTGTATAAGCGTAGAGACACTTCAAAGGTATATAACATTTATGCCAGCCATAGCTTGGGATTCAACTCTGAATCAACAAATACTGAAGTAAACTCCGCCGTCATGAATATTATAGTGCCGCAACACATATACTTTTTGGTCGGGCTCCTGTGCTTTGCGTTTTTGTTCTTAGCCTTTGCGTTGTACTCTTGGTCGCTCCTGCGGAATTACCAAGCGGCCAAACATCTCCAGATTCCCATTATAATTACCCCAGTTTCTTGGCAACAACCACTATGGATGCTACTTGGCGAGACCGTTGGCCGCCCCATCCAGCGATTGCCGCTGTGCCGATGGTCGTTGTACAGCCGGTTTGGATGGCAGATGTACGACAAATATCGTTTGCACGCGAATCTAGGCCCCGTGTTCGTCATCGTGTCGCCGGCAGACAACGAGGTTGTTGTTTCGGATCCAGAAGTGGCTACACGAATCCTCCACAAGTGGCGGCAATTCCCCAAGAGCGCTATACAAACCAAGGTGTTTGAAATCTTCGGGCCCAACGTCGGAACTATCTGGGATGATGACTGGGCCAGACACCGTAAGATGGTCTCGGTCGGTTTTAAGGAGTCTAATTACGGCCTGGTATGGGAGACTACAAGGCGACAGACTGACAAGCTGGTTGAGAGCTGGGCGAAAGCAGGTCGGCAGCAAAAACTTGCGAGTCTCGAGGAAATTACTGATGCCGTTTCTGCACTCGCCCTCCATGTCCTTGTCGTCGCCGGGTTTGGCAAAAAGGAAGACAACGACAATGACAACGGCAACAATGACAAGGATCATACGTACTTGACTACCGCACCAGGACACAAGTTGAGCTACATTGATTGCTTGAAGGCAATCTTACGAAATATGATTGCAACCTCGCTGTTGCAATCATTCACCATATCCGACATACTCTTGCCGAAGTCTTTGCGATTGCTGAAACAAGCAAACAGAGAGTTCAGGGCCTATATGGCTGAAAGAGTTGAAGTTGAGAGGAGGGACATTGCGATGCGGAAAACTACGAGCCAAAGCAACCTACTGAGCTCCCTTGTTAGCGCAAACGAAGTTTCCAGGTCGCAGGGCAACTCAGCGATAGCGAAGAATAAGCTCTTTTTGTCAGATTCAGAGCTTCGGGGCAATTTCTTCACATTCAACCTTGCCGGCTACGAGACAACTTCTGGTGTCTTGTCCTACGCGATACCTTGGCTTGCGGTACGGGAGGATGTGCAGGCCTGGGTTTACGAAGAAACATGCGCAGTTTTGAATGGCTCACTGAGTTACGCGGAGTCCTTTCCAAAGTTGACGCGATGTTTGGCTGTCTTGGTGAGCAGACTCAAGGAAAGGTCCACTCAGAAGAGAACAGAGCTGACCAAGAACCTAAGTATGAAACTTTGCGTTTACATCACCCACTTCCAGCACAACCACGATACACAAACGAGGAGTCTAGGGTACTCACTATCAGGGGAGCAGAGATCCCCGTTCCTAAACATACATACGTTACAATCAGTTGCACCACTCTCATGACAGATCCTGTATTGTGGGGTGCCGACTCCCTAGAATATAACCCTTTCAGATGGATTCGAACAGCTGAGACTGACAAAGGCCCACGGGAACAGATTATGGAACCCCCAGAGGGCACATTTATTCCCTGGTCTCATGGGCCGCGAGTATGCCAAGGAAAGAAATGGAGCCAAGTCGAATTTGTCGCTGTGATTGCATTCCTGGTACGGAACAACCGTATTGAAGTTGCGAGGCGTAATGGTGAATCGAAGCTCGATGCCGCTCTTAGGTTAAAAAACATTTTGGAAGATTCATACATGAACATCACCCCAAAGATCAGGTGCCCACGCGAAGGTGGCATCATCTGTAAAAAGAGATAGAATGAGGTCGCTACTATAATACACATCCTGAACCCCTAGGCAGAGACTAAAAGCATACCAAATGCAGTTATATCCTCCCCCGAGACTGATTGCTTTCTCGAAGTTCTTGATGACAGAGGTCTTCGCACTTTCTCTCCAAGCCACTAGGTCGTAGTTCTGTTGTCAACGTTTTGGGTTACTGGCCTCAAACAGTAACATTCTGCCAACGACTGACCACTCGACAGAATCGAAAGCAGCCTCAAGAGACTTCACGATATTTTCAATATCATCATGACGGTTAGAAAAGATACCCAAAATGTTGTGCCAAAGGAGCAGAAAAGCCCCAAGCCAGTTATGTCGTACACCTTTTCCGAGAACGGTTGCGCCTACAATCACACCCTCCGGGCGAAGGTGCTTTCCTAGAGATATGATCGCCTCTGTCTTGGACCGAGTCGGTCCAGGCAGACAGTGAATGAGGCAAAGACAGGATATGAGGTCGAACCCGGGCTTGGGTTCAACCGCGTGTGGGGGTGCTAGCCGAGCGGAAGTGAGCGCCAGGCTCGACCTTTCGTCCGATTCCAAAACGTCCACCACCAGAGTCCGAACCGACAAGGTTGGGTGGGTGCCAATAACTCGTCTTGATGCCGTGAGTAGACAATCTGTATTCAGATCGGCTAACGTGACATGGCTTCCAGCCGAGAAGGGAGCATGTTCAAGAAAGTATCCTGTTCCAACGCCGATGTCCAGGAAGCTAGGGGTGTGCTGGCCAAGGATCGCGGTCTTGTTTGCCGAAGCCACGCAAGCATTATAAAACTCTGATAAGTCTTCCTTGGAACAGCCCCAGGCGTACTTGCAGTAGAGCCGGATGACCAAACCATCGTACAGGAACCGCAGAATGAAAGGCATGTAGAATGCTGCACCGGCGGCTCGATCCATAGCTCCGGTAGCACGGAAATTAGTCTCTGCAATAAGATTGCCACTACCAGCTGGAGATTACAGCTTAATGGATTGCCTTGGCTTTATATTTTTCCTCTGGCGACAAAAGCTAACGTTAATCTTTACTATGCCGGAGGGAGTGTGCAGACGTCTACTATCTCTGTCTCTCCTATTTAGCGCAATTTTGCCTATGTTTCAAACTCAATGGAAGGAAGTTTGATAAGGATTTGAGCATAATTGAAGAAATAGATCCAATCCCAGATCAAGAGCGGAAAACGGGATTCTGAAACGAGTAATTCATCGACTAACTGGCCTATAGGGGATATCTCTTTCAAGTGTTCATCCAGGGGGCCCTAGGTACCTACTAATCTTTCTTGTTGGCTTTAGGAAGATTATGCACTGACGAGTTAAATGGATTTTGTGTTTAACCTAGCCTGACTTTATGATTGCGTCGGTCTCATTTGGCGGGGAGGGCTGATGCGTCCACTTCGGGTGGAAACCACCACTAAAGTCTATCATTTTGTTGCTTATCCATCTATGAACAACAGGTATGGCCTATCTACCCCCTTATCGATGGACCTAGCTTGATATAGTGAGAGAAAGTAAAGATTAAACTCATTGCCCTGGCTCTTCGCCGTGGCACAATGCTATCGCGCATACATCGTAATAAATCAACGATACACCAGCCCACATCTGAAGAACCGCATTTTTTCCTCTCGAGTTAATCCGGCAACGTGACACGTTATGGCTGTTCTTTTTTTATGCAACTCGGAGCTTGGTCAGGCGCAGATTGTGTTAGGTGTAGCAGCTAACCTTATCAAGGAAGAAAAGCTACAAGTCCACATCGCGTCCTTTCCTGCTCTGAGATCACGAATCTCCCAGATAAACGGAATTTTCGGTCGATCCAATCCTATTCGATTCCACGCCCTTAGTGGGCCTTCAATGACCCAGGGTTATTTCGAGAACTTCGATGAAGTGTCAGACATGTGTCATCCATGTGGCATCCAGGGCGCCGCTCATAGCTATACGTTGTTCCCAAAGATTGTTGCCACCTACAACAATGACCAGTATAGACTGGTAATTGAGGCCTGCCGCAACTGCATTCTAGAGACTTGTCCCGCCCTGATTGTTGTTGACGCACAATTCTGGGCAGGGCTGGACGTATGCAGAAATGGATCCACGCCCTATTTTGTCATAACCCCATCGGGACTTTGGGGCGTTATCGCAGGAATACAGCCCCATGGTGCCATAATGTGGAAGTATCCTGTGTAAGACCACCATTACACCGTCTGTCAATGCTCATAACTCCGCTAACAATACTTGTTCCCCTTAGTATTGGCTCGGGGTTTCCGTTCCCCATACCACTTTCCCTCATACCGGCGAATATATACTTGACAATCAGGCTTCTGCTTGCGCTCTACTTTTCCTCGACGCTCTCCGCCTTGTTATTGACCCGCCGGAGTCTACATCTAGAGGGGCAGTTCCCAATGTTCGAGACATACCGAAAAGATGAGCATTACAGTAAGTGTCCTTTTGTAAAGTTTCCGACTCCGAAACCCGACGTACTGAGCTGCACTGCGGTGTCTGTTCAAGTTGCTAAGTCCAGTGCGTGCCTCTGCAAGTACTACCGGGCCAGCCTGCAACAGATTTCCACTACGAACATATACCGGATAACCTGACTTGCTGTGGTCCCTTGACGATCCCTTACCCCCAGCTTCAGGAGCAAGACCCTCAACTGGATTCTTGGCTGCTTCAAAGACGCACGGTATTAGTGAATCTTGGCAGTCATATCAAGCTGAGTGTGCAAAACGCTATTCATCTTGCAAAAGCGCTCCAAGTGACCCTGGAGCGCCACTCCGATGCCCAGGTGTTGTGGAAGCTCAACTGCACGGCGGAAGGATTGTCAGAAGCGAGGTCTACTTTACAGAACGAAATAAACCAAGACAGAGCGCGCATAAGCGCGTGGCTAGAGGTGGATCCAACGGCAATCATGAAGTCAGGCCAATTGGGTTGCGTAGTGCATCATGCTGGTGCCAACACCTTCTACGAGGCGCTTGGTTGCAGCGGCGCTCCACAAATCGCCCTTCCCATGTGGCTGGACACCTACAACATTGCAACTCACATGGAGTATCTTGACGTAGGGATTTGGGCTAACAAGAATGCGGCCCCAAACATTGATAGGGATGAGCTCAGTCGCTGTCTCCTCACTGTCATGGGCGACAGCAAGCGGTCATTGGTGTTGCGAAGCCGAGCGCGGGAGATGCAGGAAGCATGTGCTGCTGGCGGAGGCTCGGAGCGGGCTGCAACCAAGATCCTGAATTTCTTACGATTGGCTTCAAAGTTTTGATACAAACACGAGATGAACTCAACCTAGTGTCGAATATCCGGAAGAATGCAAAAAGGCTTATCTTCTCGCCCAGACAGGACGCCGGCGAGAACTCTGTTAGTCGTCATGGATAGGGCTCTCGGCACAAGATGTATGGGAGCAAGTCTACTCGTAAATTGTGCAGAATGGGGCGGTGTCTTGTTGCCAGCTAAGAGATTGGATAAACCTCCTCCATCATGCCGAATATGGTTTCGACGTAAAAAAGAAAGGGAAAGCATAGGGGTGGCCATCGGAAGGGTAATGATGGTCTCAAAGTCACGAAAGTGAAAGTACACCCTCCTCTAAGAATTCACATATTGCTGTAGACTAACTTTAATAGCTTAATAAAGTTTACAGTCGGTACATACATACCTGTACACGCTTATGGTGTAGAAACGTCTGACCCCTAGATACACTTTGCTCTGCCTAAGCAACCTAAACTTACCCAGTGTGTAATCACTTCGTGGAAACTCGTGTAATATTAGGTTTCAGTATCTAAGAGTTAGCATTTCCGGTTGTCTGATAGTACGATAATAATGGACTGAGAAATAATGATATGTAAAAGGCCATGTAGTTAAGAGATACTTGATATAGTTTTCTGTAGCCCCGCCTTTGGGTTGAAACGGGCCGGAGGAGCTTGTAATGCCATAAATGTTCGTAACATCTTACATTAGGTTTAACCTTCTAACATCAGTCGGCATGTCAATCTCCCAAAGCTGTCACAATGACCGTTTTCAGCTTATTGCGGATAGTGAACACGTGATCATATAAGGTACAGAGCACCATTCGAATATCGGTAGTATGCTTGATACTGCACCTGGCTTTGATCATAGTCTTCAGGTCATCACCTCAAGAACGATCCAGAGTCTACAATACCAGTAATGGACGTTGCTCAAATCCCCGATTTCGATGACCTGCCTCCTGTGCCAGGAATGCCGAAAGGATGCGCATGGGGTGTATTCGATAGGGCCGGAGAAGAGAGAGACCTTCTCGGAACACTGAACTTTCTTACGCCTTCAGTGAAAGCCGCCGCTTTCGCTGAAGCACGAGATGGGGTCTCAATCTCACTCAAGTAAAATCTCCTGCCTGCCATCATGTCAGAACAGGACCAAGACAACGACGCTAATAAGTACCACATTGTAGTTGGCCGCTCAATGCTCAACAGTTCCCGACAGGCCGTGCCGCGCCCCAGCACCGAGTCAATACTTTGCAGGAAGCGGGCCTCATCAAGTCTGGCCTGGGTTGGGACGACGAAGTCAGCTTCAATACACAGGTATGTCAACTCTTTCACCTCACAGAATTGTCTTTTATCCGCCTCTGCCATCGCTCACCTATGAATGAATGATGTGTGATTAGATTAGCAGTCAGTGGGATAGCCTCGCTCACTGGCCCCATCAAGGCTCTGGAAAAGGATACAACGGGGTCCGTATAACTCATGCTGGACTGACGGTAGGAGCGACAAGCAATAACCATATGCCGACATTGGACCACTGGTAGGTCTTCTTTGAACGTCCATGGACTATTTTGACCCCTTCGTTATTCTCTTGGCAGATTGTTGTGGCTGATGAACATGACGATTTTCTACCCCTCACAGGCATCGCGTTGGTGGACTTGTAGCCCGTGGAGTATTGATCGACTACAAGAGGTGGTTTGAAACAAACAGCAAAGGTTCTGAGACTATATTTGACCCGCTAGATCTACATCGTATCACAGTCATAGATATCGAGTCGATAGCCGCAGCGCAGAAGGTTGATTTCCGACCGGGTGACGTGCTCATCATCCGGACAGGCATGACCGAGGTGCTGGAGGGGCAGCTGCGTTCCGAAGATATCGCCAAACTGAAGTTGATACAGTGCCCTGGAATGCACGGCAGTCTGGAGTCAGTTCGCTGGCTTTGGAACCGCCGTATTGCGGCCGTAGCCAGTGACTCATGGGGATTTGAGGCATTACCGGCAGTGAAAGAGGAAATCGGGTCTTCTGACGGCCTTGGCGAAGGTTAGTGCAAAAACACTTCTAAAGTTATTACAACACCGTGTTCTAACTCGTAGTTTTGCACAGACTCTGTGTTACATCCATGGCTATTGTCTATGTTTGGGATGCCTATTGGAGAGTTGTGGGACCTAAAGGAGCTTTCTGTTCATTGCTTAAAGACGGGAAGATATAGCTTTCTTCTTAGCTCAGTGCCTCTTAACTTACCAGGGCTTGTGGCTTCTCCTCCAAATGCAATAGCTATGTTTTAGTTCAATAAATACATATTATAGCTAATCTAGAATAGTGTACTAGCTACTTATTAGGTTAGATATAGGTGTAACAGGATTCATGGTACTAGCTGTGGCTCTCGGCAATTAGTTACCAAACACCTGGCGACCTACCCTACTATAGATTCTATCTAGAATTACACACAGGTAGACAGAATCTACAAGCTTAAGTCTTATAATACACTAATACCTACTATTTAGCCCTACCTAGTTAAGTGCTTATAGCTAATACTCTTATAATTCTTAAGCTTCTATCTCTTTTAGGTAACTAGTATAAGTAAAATAGACTAGAATAATACTAGATATATTAATTACTTACTAATATACTACTAGTATATAGCTAGTATAAATAAACTATAGCTACCTAAGATTAAATACTAAATAGGCCTAAAAGTAGGAAATAATTAAAATATACTATTAAAAAGATTTATATAATAACCTAATAAGAAAAAATTATAAAAAAGAATACTATTAATATAAGATTATTAGCTATAGGCACTTAACTAGGTAGGGCTTAATAGTAGGTATTAGTATATTATAAGACTTAAGCTTATAGATTCTGTCTGTGTGTGTAGGACGCGCAGACAGAATCTATAGTAGGAGTAAGTCGCTAGGCGTTTAGTAACTAATTACTAAGAGCTATAGCTACTACTATAAATGCTATTATAATTACTTCCCTCTTTATAAGGCTTTATCTTAAAGCCGTTATATAACTTTTTTTAATAATCTAATAATAATAATAAAATAAAGCCCTTTTTTTTAGCTCTAAATAGCCTTATATCTACCTTATTAACTATATTAGATCTTTATTACTATTTAGAATCTAGCTAATTTATTATTATTTTTTATAATATAGGTATACTTTATAATTTTATTTAGTAATGTATTAGTAAATAGTTACTAGGTTAAAGTATTAGATAAAAAATAGTTATATAAGGTAAATATATATTAATAAGCTACCTAGCTTATTTCTTTTTAGCTATTAGTTACCTAAGTAAAAAAGATTTGTTACTACTAGTTACTTATTCTTTTTTTTATTTTTTTCTTATAACTTAGTAACCTTTTTATAATTTTCTATTATTATAGCTTTATCTTATAATATTCTTTTTATACTTTTTACTTACTTATTTTTTTCTTTTATTCTTATTTTACTTACTTAGTGCTGGCTAAACCCTTACTATAATATCTATTATTTTCTATATTTAGATAGTTATTAACTATAACTATAATCCCTATAAGGCCTTTTATAGTCTTTAAGGTAGTACTTCTTATATTTATTATCTATTTTATTATAAAACAAGAGGTTAAGTGCCTATAGCTAGGAGTTAGGTAGATAGCAGGGATATACCTATAGCACACGTAATATAGTATATATACTATAGGTATATATCTCTCTAGTTAGAGCCCCTTTATAGAGGAGGAGGTTAACTAAGAATATTACTACCTATTTATTACTTATCTTATTTTATATTATTTATTTAGCTCCTTATTATTATTTATCTTACTTTACTACTTTATTATTACACTTTACCTTTATACTATATTACTTTACCTTACTACTATAGCCTAGCTTTATTATATTAGATCTATAATAGCTACTAAGAAGGCTATATTAAGTAGTAGTATAACTATTTTAATTTATACTATTTTATTATTTTTATTACTTTTTTAATTTTTATTACTCTTATTTAAACCTCCCTTTTACTACTACGTAGTAAAAAAATATATACACCCTAATAAAAGTAACAGGCTTAAAAATATAGCATACTAAGAACACTCTAACCTAGGTAGATCTTTAAACTTAGGCGTCTTTATATATAGCTTAAGTAAAATCTATCTTATAAAATTACCTAGTAGCTACCTTAAAGTCTTTATAATAATATATAATTCCTTATAACTATAGAATTTAATAAGGATATACTATACTACTTTAGTAATAACTAGTAATAAGGCTTTTAGTTAGACGCTAGCTAAGCTAATAACCTTTACTAGGTTAAAAGTACCTTTTATATAGTAAAAAGGATTATTAGAGATATAAGAACTAACTAGCTACTCTTATTAAGACTATATAATAAGGTAAAGGATATCTAACTATTTTATAGTAACTTATAAAGCTCTTAGTTATTTAAAAACCTAGTTATACTAAAAAAAGCTAACTAAGTAAATACCTCTTACTTCTTAAAAAAAGCCTCCCTAATAACTACTTCTAAGTAAAGATATTATAATAAGTAATATATCTAGATAAAAAAGGAGTATCTCTTTAGACCTATTATCTTAAAAGTAAATAGAAGCTACTATAATAATATAGTCTAAGTTAAAAAGTAAGAAATAAGAAATTATAGGCCTACTAGGCTATAATACTATCTTACTAGTAGGCCTACTTAGACTATAGTTTTTTACTATACTAGGCTAATTCTTAGATAGTATAAGCTATTACGCCTAAGGTTAATAAAAGTAGAATATACACCTACCCTAAGGGTAAACGTAATATTTACTACCTCTAGCCTAAGGTTAAATAAGAGATATAATTCTTTTAAGTTAGTACCTTAGTAAAAAAGCTAATACTATAACTATAGCTACTTTATTAGTAAATTTAAAGTTAATAATAATATAATTATAAGAATACTAAGACTTAATAAGTATAGCCTAGCTATAAAATAACCTTAAATAGTAAAAGTAATAAAGAAGCTTATAGTTAACTATAGCTATACTACTTTTACTAATATAAAATATAAAAGAAGTTATAGTAGCTTTTCTTTATACTATAACTACCTAAATATAAGTAGTAGTAGTACTAGTAACTACTATAGCTATCTTAAGTTACTTCTTAACCTAAATATAAGTACTACTTACTATTAGAATCTTCTAGCCTAATACTAACGCTAAGAGGTACTTAGTAAACCTTATTTTTTATAACTACCTTATAATATACTACTATAACATAAAGCTCTAGATCTAGGTAGTTAAGGTAACTTATATAGACCTCTTATCTATATAGCGTTTCTATTAAATAATTAACTAGTACTTTTATAAATAAGTATAGAACTAGTAGGAATTTTAACTAACTAATATAAAGTAAAATATCTTTAAGTAAAAAAGGTAGCTATTAATCTTAAGGTAATTTAGGTACTACTTTAGACTAACTTCTATTAAAGTAAAGAAGTAGTTTTAAGAAAACTACTTTACTACTAATAAGATTAATAAGTAGTATAATATTTACACTTTTACCTAATCCTACTTTAAGTATACTAAGGCATAAGGTAACTAGACCTAATACTAATAGCTAATAAGGTTTTATAATAACCTTACCTTATAGCTATAGTAATTTCTTTATAAGCCTAAGGACTATAACTCCTTAGATAAGTATATTACTTTTACTAAAGAGAAACCCTAGGCCCTCTAAGATACTACCTTACTATTATAAACTACCTCTATATATACTAATATTATAGCTATTTAAAGTAGTATAAGTAATAATATAGCGCTATAGGGGAATATAGTAAAGTAACTAAAGGACTACTACTCTTAAAATAAAGACCCTCTAGAGGCTAATAGGGAGAATATAGCCTTATAAGGATCTAATAATAATAATAACTAGTAAAGGAGAAGTAACTACTAGTATAAAGGAAACTTTTAAGAAAACTATAAAAGGTACTAACTATATAGTAACTAATAGTAAGAGTATTACTAGACTAACTTAAAACGTAAAGCCTAAGACTAGTAACCTTAGTAAGGTCCCTAATAAGAAAAGAGATTATAATAGTAAGTATATAATATATAAAAAACTAAAGGTAAGGATAAAGTATAGTTTATTTAGAAATATAATAAAGATATAGATATTAAAATTAATAAGCTTATTAATAAGGGTTATATCCTTAAAACTACTAAGAAGTTCTTACTAGCTATAACTAATACTATAAACTTTATTATATAACTACTAGCTAGGGTTACTATAGCCTTAGTAGACCCTAAGGAAGTCCTTAAAACCTATAAAGAGGTTATCTTATAATAAGATAAGATTAAGAAGTACCTTATAAAGATAGCTAAAAGTAATAATAATATAAAACTATTACTAACACTAAGTAAGGCTAAAACCCTTATAACGCTAGGACCTCCTAAAGATATACTATAAGATAGTAATACTATAAACTTTACCTTTTATTTAGGGGAGGTAATTAAAGCTATTATAAAACCTAATAAGAAAAGAAACTAGCGTAAGCGTACCTACCTATAGGTAAAGATCTAAGTAAATAAGAGCTTAAAAGAAAACGTAGTATACCTAAATATAGGCGTATTAGTTATTTTAGTAGATTATAAATAGGTAATAAGATTTACTAAGAGCCTATAATTCTCTATAATAGAACTATAAAGAGTAAGAGTAGTTAAATTATTATTTATACTTATAGAAAACGTTACTTTTAATATATAGTTTAATAAAGTAGTAAAAGGCACTAAAATAGAGGTCTATATAATAATTACTACTAGAGTAGTTAAGAAACTTCTAGCCTAACTATTACTAAGGACACTGTTTTATAATAACTATAAAGTAGTTATTAACTTTAATAAGAAATAGGTAAAACTTTACTCTACTTATAATATAATAATCCTAGTAATAGTAAAAAGCTACTTCCTAGTAATATAAAGGATTATAGTATAATTTACTATAATAATCTAGCTATAGTTAATATATAATGTCTTAGTTAACTTTATTAACTTTTTAGATAAATATAATAATAATAAGAGACTATATAAATACTATATATTCTTAATAAACGCCTATATCTTAGATATAATACTAAATTTATTATTTACTAAGGTAGTCTTAGTATATAATAATATAGATACCCTTATTATTATTAGGAAAGGCACTAAGGTTATATAAATCTCCCTAGCCTTAAGGGAAAAAAGCATATAGGCTATTAATAAAGAAACACTTAACGCTATTACTAAGAGCGACTTAGTTAACTTTATTAACATTACTA